ATTTCAGTCTTTTCATCCCTTTTTTTCTCTTTGAACTACCCATACATAATACAATGGATACATTTAATTTTCCAGAGTTGTTAATGATATATAAAAGTCTAAAAACTATTTAGAATTAGCCAAAGTAAAAAAAAAAAAAAATCATTACACTGAACTTTGACCTCATTTTAGACAGGGGTCCTGGACTGCTAGTCAAGACACTTCTTTTGACCTTGCACATCTGAGTTTCAGCAGACTTCGAAGATATTTGTGAGTTCCTCTTGCACAAGTGAAAGAAACAGATGGTGGAATGACTGTAGGGAATCTGTCACTAAACACTCATAACCTGAGTTCTAATTAATGAGCAAAGAGCAACCTTTAGAAAAACAAAAACGTCTCCAGAGGCATGCCACAGAGCTCTACTGCCTCCCCTTTCATTCAACGCTTTCACCAGTATCGTAGATGAAAAAACAAAACACATGTATCAAATAAGCAGATGAAATGATTGATTAGCTAAAGATGATCAAGATTCAAAAGGTTTTTACAAGCTTCAGAAACGCTGGGCGCTAAATAAAATGGAAAATTTTATAGGGATAAATGTAAAGTCTGTATTTAGGTAAAAAAAAAATCAACTGTATTATGATAGCATCCGTATTCGAGTAACCTTTATTAAGCATTATGTGTCAGGTGTTGTGCTAAGGATTTTACATGCATGAATCTTCATAGTGACCTCCTCAGCTGGTAAGCACGATTTGGTCCATTATACTGGTGTGGAAACTCAGGTTAAGTAACTTGCCCAGTATCACTCAGTTAGTAAGGGGCAGGACCAGGACTTGATTTGACCCACCAGGGGCAGAGCATGTGCCAGCTCTGCTGAAAGTACTAACATAATGCCAGGATGCACTGAGGGGTGCTCACAAGAAGTTGCACCATACTCATGGCTGAGTAGACCAAGGCTAGAGAATAGTGCCACTAAAATGGGCGTCAAGGTGTGAAAATTCACCCAGAGGAAGGTGGCCTGGATGCTGAGGGTCTCAAATGATGCTGTCAGAGAAAAGGTTGGTGGCACTGTCACTCTCAAGCCCTCCATCCTACCCACTCTTCCTCCTCAGCAGCTGCCAAGCTCTCTGTGCTGTCTTCCTTCTCGGTCAGTATCTCTGTGCCTTCAACTCTTGCTACTGCAGCCTCGGGCGCTCACTCCTTTCCAAGGTTAACCTGTGCCTGGTGCCTTTCTTACATCTTCAGACCGCAGTCCTCTGCCAGTTTCCTTCCTTTAGCGGGTCAGGTCAGGGTCTCCCTTTCCCCTTCACAGTTCTACCTGAACAGAAACGATGCCGGGGACCAAACCTAGTGGCCAAACCTAACGACCCATCCCCAGCCTTCATCCTTGTTGACTTCTCTGCAGCTACTAGAAAAAAAGACCGTCCAATCTTTCCGCAGTGATATATGTGGTCTTTTTCCTTTGTTTGCATATTTTATGTTTATCCTCATACAGTATATACAATTGTTGTGCCCCATTTTTCACATAACCATGTTTTCATGTTAGGAACTCTTCAGAAATAGTACTTTTAATGGCTTCGTGCTATTTTATCATGTGAGTCTTCCATAATTTACTCAACTTTCCCCCTCTCGCTGGACACTGGAGTTGGTTCCAATTTAGTTATTATAAGGAATAATATAAAAAAGCAGGTGCCAGGAGAGGTAGCTAGAAAGTGGATGAACTTCCCACAAGCCCACTGTGTGTGGGGAAAAGGTCAGATCCCTTGAAGAAGAGGAAGACAATAAAGGCGGTTGAACCAAGGTGGTGGTGGTGAGGGACACTAAGAACATAGGTTTTCACCTCTGGCTCCATCACTTGTATGTTACCTTAGCAACTTACTTGACCCGAGCCATTTCTGAAAGTGTGAGATCATCTAACACACAGAGTTGTTTATTCAGATTAAACGAGAGGGGGCACATGAAACTCTGAGGATGGCATCTGGTACATAGAAATAAAAATAACCACCATCCATATCATCGTCTCCATGGTCCTAGCTATTTCTGTAAGCAGAAACGTTCAGTCATGCACACAGGTGCACAACAAACACTTACGAAGCCCCCACTGTCCCCTGCTCACTGAAAGTTCTTGGTCAATGGGGGAGACAGAGGGTTCACGAGCTGTTAACAGGCAATATGGAAGGCATCGTGTGGAGGGGCTGGCTGCAGAGGCTTTCTCAGAAGAGGCTCTGCACAAATTGAAGGTGGAAGGTGCAGGTGCCGTGGGCAAAGGTGACAGACAGAGCCTCGGACAGGTGGAGTTCCGTGCACCAAGGCACGCAGCGGCGATGTGCTGGCAAGGCATTGAGGGAATGGCAAGGAGTCTGGCAGAGCGTGAGTCCAGGTGAAGGCAGGGAGACAGGCAGGACCTCGTGGCTGGTCAGTGAGTCTGAATGCAATGGGAGCCTCTAGAGGTGGTCGAGCAGAGAATGCCAGACCAGCTCTTCTTAGAGAGATTTCAAATAGGGGAACTGCTGCTCTGAGCATTTCTAAGGCATGGCCCTTGTAGCTTTTGAAAAGCGATGGATGATTTTACACCTCACCTGGCAGCGACTGCTGCCCTCAGCAAGACTTCTCCTGGAGTTCCCTCTTCCCTGTTCCCACAGGGTGCCTCCCAGCAACCCTGTTTGCTCCTCCTCTGGTTGGCTCCATCTCAGCCCTTCTGCTTCCTCTCACTCCTTGCATAGATGCATTCCCCGCTGGTCTGTCCCTGGCACTCTTCTCTGTCTGCCTTCTCCCACCTTGGTGCGGCCCTCAGGGTCTTGTTGGTTCAGTGACCACCTCTGGGCAGAAGACCCTTGGCAGGGCCCGTCCCCTCCCTCTGACACCTCCCACTCTGCAAGGCACCTTCCCTTGGAAGCCCCCTCACCCCTTCAACCCCCGCACATACAGAACTTGCCTGATGACTTTCCTAAGAAATAGTTCCTCCTCAGGCCACATCCTTAATTCACTCAAGAGCACCACCTGCTCTCTCTCATACAGACTCTGACCTCAAATGTCATCCTTGGCTGGTCCCTCCAACCCCCACCCCACTCCCCAGTCCGGCCTCTCAGTCTCACCTGCCTCCACCCTCCATGGCCAACACTGCAGCTCTAATGATCTTCCAACAGCTGGAAAGACCTGAGAATTCAGCTACGTGACCCCAGCCCCTCTCCTCCACAGCCCAAGGGCGCTGCTGGCATACATAACAAATCTAACAGTCCTAGCACACCACCCTTGATCCTGCCAGCCCCCACTCAAAACCCGCACTGGGGAATAAAGCCCTGACCTCGTTCTCTGGCTGCCATGGCCGTCCCCTTCCCACCTCTAGAACAGACAAAATGGGGGCTAACTGCCTACCAGGAAGGGAGGTGGCAGCCTAGGCACACAGGTGTCCACCTGGACACAAGGTCGGTGGGGATGGCCATCGGGCTGCGTCAGTCTCTGGGATTCTCAGATTCTCATTCCCTTCAAGCTTGTACCTTTAAACTCCTTCCTGTCAGCTTCCCTACGTTGTGCCTGGTACTTACTAGACATTGAATAAGTATTTGAGGTTTGAGGCACCTGAGGATGGGGCACTTGCACCTGTGTGCTTCTGCTTCTGGAAATACTCTCACCTCAAACAGGTTCCGCAGCAGCATTTTTCTGTGTCCTCCAAAGTATAGTCTAAGACTAGTCCAAGACTTTTCCTTCACTTCCAGTAAACTGAAGGCTGAAGAAGCGCTGTTGGCTATCTGAGGGCTCACACTCTCACTGGTGAAAATATTCTAGAACAAAACTAGGGCAATTCAAACACTGTCCATTTAGAACTCCAGTTAATGGAGATGCAATAGAGGAGAAACTACAGTTTGGTTGCTTTGTGTCCAGACTGTTACTAAAGTAATCAAAGTAGAAGAAAAACGTTTGCTTAAACCATTGAAACAGGATTATTTTCATGACTATCTTTTCTATCTACAGCAAAAGCGTCTTTTAAAGTAGAAAGCTAGAGCATATGTCCGGGGAAATGGATGGATTCTAGTCCCACTCGTCTGAATACTGAGGTCTCTAGATTTCTCCACTGGTGTATAGGAGGATCAGGCTTTATGGCTATTCAAACGGATTTTTTTTTTCAAAAGTGCTAACAATGTCACACTCTTTATCCAAATAATTACCCAAGCCCATCTCAGAGGGAACGCTGCCCTTCCGAGGTAAGAGGTGGAGCCCCAGCCAGCAGAAAGGAAGTTTCCGAGGAATGCTCTAGTGTTTCCCAGAGTCAGGGTATACGAAAGGCGCTTTAGAAACTGTAGTGTTTGTACTGTTGCGAACAGTACAGATGTTAGGCAAAGAGCCTACGACTGCAGCATTTTTTTTGTGCTTGTGGCCCCTGGGCTCCCCAAGCGCTTGGTGCCACTGCAGTGCCCTCAAGCCTGTGACCCAGGCTGCTTCAGCTTTAGGCATCTGATGAGCCTACATGCACGTTCACGCACTTTGAAGGCACAGAATTCTAGAAAGCAGCCCGAACACTGCTGCCATAAGCTTCTGTGCCAACTCGTTCAGGGGGGTCCCAGGAGACTCGCCGGCGTCTCAGCTTCTACGTCCGCATGGGCAACTCTGATTCCACCCGTGGTGTGGGAGGAAGGGGCCGAGGCGCTCCAGTCCCGGGAGATGGGGACGCACGCGCGACCTCTGGGGAGTGGGGATTCTAGGCCCCGAGGCCGGAGCGGCGGAGGCGGCCCCTCCCACAGGGTCTTCCCTCCCACAGGGTCTTCCCACCCGCAGGGCACCCAGGCGGGGCGGAGCCAGGAGGGGGCTTACCCGCGGGCAGGGACGGAGTACGTCGGGGCCCTGGAGGGGCGACGCTCGCTCGTGCCCCCGGTCCCCGCGGCCCCTCCGCGGCCCCCAGCGCGCGCCCGCCCGCCCGCCCTGCAGTGTCAGGTGCGCAGGTGTGGCCCGGGCGCCAGGTCGAGTCAGCTTTAGCAGGGCCGGCTCCCCCACAGCGCTCCCGGGAGCCCAGCGGACCCTCCTACCTGCGTGTACAGCTCGGCCACCGCCATGGGCAGGAGGGGCCGGGGCCGGGCGGGGGCTGCAGCACGTGCGAGGCTTGGGGGCTGGGCCTGCGGCGCAGAGGCCGGGCGCAGGAGAGACGGGCACGGAAATCACCGCCGGGCCATCTTGCCCAAAGTTTTCCAATGGCCTCCTGCTCCCGTTCCCGAGTTGGCGGCGAGGGGAGGCGGCAGCGGCGGGATTGGTCCCTCCAAGCCCGCCCCGGCTAGTCCGCGCTGCCATTGGCCGGGGCCCGGCGGTGCACCTGGCGGGAGCGCGGGTGGAGAAGGCTGGGGCCCGGGGCGCGCTGCCAGGCAGGAACAGATGCATCCGGAGGCTGCCCGGCCCGAGTGTTAGCTCCTCAAAGAGCAGAGGATACGACCATTTAAATGGAAGCCCCAAGGGAATCAACGAACTGAACACAAAGAGAAGTGTTAAGAGAGTCCAGCAAGGTCATCGTATTCAAAATCCAGTACAAAAATAAGTAATGGTCCTTTATATGAGCATTGGCTATGCAATACAAGATATTTATGGCCGGGCGCGGTGGCTCACTCCTGTAATCCCAGCACTTTGGGAGGCCGAGACGGGCGGATCACAAGGTCAGGAGATCGAGACCATCCTATGAATGGTGAAACGCCATCTCTACTAAAAATACAAAAACTTAGCCGGGCGCGGTGGCGGGCGCCTGTAGTCCCAGCTACTCGGGAGGCTGAGGCCGGAGAATGGCGTAAACCCGAAAGGTGGAGCTTGCAGTGAGCCGAGATCGGGCCACTGCACTCCAGCCTGGGCGACAGAGCCAGACTCCGTCTCAAATAAAGATATTTACAATATCAGTAAAAGTATAAAGCATCCAGAGATTACACTCACAAAAATGCCCTTGGCCTTTGTGGGAAAATGTTTAAAATTCTCTTAAATATCTTAAAAGGAGACCCGAGTAAACGGGAGACATACCATTTTCCTGGCTGGGAATATTTAATATGGTCAAGGTGTCACTTCTACCCAAATCAATATATATGCCTAATATATTGGGATCAGAATCCTAACAGAACTTTTGGAGAATTGTACAGTGATTCTATATTTCATTATAGAATAAAAGCCCTGTATAACTAAGACAATTCTCAAAGAGGAGAGATGTGTCCTGCCATATATTTAGTGACATAACAAAGCAGTAGTCATTAAAATAGTGTGACACTTGCATGAGAACAGATACGTGAGTAATGGAACATGCTGGAGCACCCCAACAGGGCCCTACATTAAACGGTAGGCTTAAGGACCAGATAGTGAAAGAAAAGAATATTTATTAGGTGGACCTGTTATATGGAAAAACAATAAAAGCAGATCCATGGCAAACCAAAAATAAGCTCCAGATGGATTCACGAATAAAACTTAAAAACAGGAAATCATTAGGAATAAAAGAGAGATAATATCTTTAAAATGTTGGGTTATAGTAGTTTCCATATATAAGAATTGTTGCTCTTTCCCTAAGCGGCCTGAGGTAATCTGTGAAAATGGTTCGCTATTCACTTGACCCGGAGAACCCCACGAAATCATGCAAATCAAGAGGTTCCAATCTTCGTGTTCACTTTAAGAACACTCGTGAAACTGCCCAGGCCACCAAGGGTATGCATATTCGAAAAGCCACGAAGTATCTGAAAGATGTCACTTTACAGAAACAGTGCGTACCATTCCGACGTTACAATGGTGGAGTTGGCAGGTGTGCCCAGGCCAAGCAGTGGGGCTGGACACAGGGTCGGTGGCCCAAGAGAGTGCTGAATTTTTGCTGCACATGCTTAAAAATGCAGAGAGTAATGCTGAACTTAAGGGTTTAGATGTAGATTCTCTGGTCATCGAGCATATCCAAGTGAACAAAGCACCTAAGATGCGCCGACGAACCTACAGAGCTCATGGTCGCATTAACCCATACATGAGCTCTCCCTGCCACATTGAGATGATCCTTACTGAAAAGGAACAGATTGTTCCTAAACCAGAAGAGGAAGTTGCCCAGAAGAAAAAGATATCCCAGAAGAAACTGAAGAAACAAAAACTTATGGCACGGGAGTAAATTCAGCGTTAAAATAAATGTAATTAAAAGGAAAAAAAAAAAAAAAAAGAATTGTTAATTCGTTAAAGAAAAGAAATCCAATTTTTTAAATTGACAAAAATTAATAGGCAGTTCACAGATGGGGACACTTAAATGGCTTGTTAGCATATAAGGAGATATCAGCTTTAGCAGTAATCAGATAAATACAAATGCAAACAACGAGATCTTGCTTTATACCCATCATATTGGCAAAAACATTTAGGTTAGACAATATCAGATACTGCCTAGGATGTGAGAAAATAAAAACTTGTTTTTCTTACATAACTGGTGGGGATTATACTGCCAGCCTAGAGAGCAATTTGAGAATACTTATGAAAATAAATGTAGGCAGAAAAATTCTCATATAGTCACCCAAAGAGACAGTTAAGTAGATGTTCATCACAACATAGCTATATATCAAAGAGTTGGAAGCATCTAAATATCAATAGGGGAATAAATAAAATAGTATATACATGGCAGACAGCAGAGAAAAATAAAAAAAGAAATAGTATATACATGTAAAACTCTACAGCTGCTAGTAGGAATAGACACGATCTACTTGACTTAGAAATAAAAAATAATGTTGAATAGATGTCTAACCCAAGTCTTTAATATTTAAAATCTCACAAGAACTGCAATACTGAATATTGTTCATGGGTACAACTATGTGTGAATAGAAGTGTGGAGGATAAATTACAAAGTCATTCATTAAATATGCAAGAGTGGATACCTATGAGGGAGAGAAATGGAATTGGAGATTTCAAAAAGGAGATCAAAAAATATAAAGAGGGACCTGGCATGGATCAATAATGATAAATGCCACAAAGAGAGGATTATGGTAAATTTAATTCTGTATTTGTTTATATACAAAATTATTTATGTTATTGCCCCCCAAAATTATATTTTATATAAAGAAAAAGAAAAGCTATAAGGTGAGTAGTGACAGCTGCCTGATTGCTCAGAGTTAAAAAGAGAATCTAGCTGCTTTTATTATTTAAAGAAAACTTTTATTGAAGGATAAAATTATATACAGAAAAGTGTACAAATAATAATTGTACAGCTCAATATATTATTTTTCTTTTTTTCTTTTTTTCTTCTTTTTGAGATGGAATCTTGCTCTGTCGCCCAGGCTGCAGTGCAATGGCATGATCTCGGCTCACTGCAACCTCCACCTCCCGGGTTCAAACGATTCTCCTGCCCCAGCCTCCCGAGTAGCTGGAATTACAGGTGCACACCACTACACCTAGCTAAGTTTTTGTATTTTTAGTAGAGACGGGGTTTCACCATGTTGGCCAGGATGGTCTTGATCTCCTGACCTTGTGATTCACCTGCCTCGGCCTCCCAGAGTGCTGCGCGCCTGGTCTAATATATTCTTATTCACGGAACACATCAACACACCAAAGTAACCACCACCCAGATCCAGACCACCATGCCTGGCTAATTTTTTGTATTTTTTTAGTAGAGATGGGGTTTTACCGTATTATCCAGGATGGTCTCGATCTCCTGACCTTGTGATTGCCCGCCTCGGCCTCCCAAAGTGCTGAGATTACAGGTGTGAGCCACTGCGCCTGGCCACTGTGCCTGTTTATTGTTGTTGTTGTTTGTTTTTTTCTTAAATCCAGTCTGATAATCTCTGCCTTTTTATTGGGGTGTGTAATCCATTCACATTTAATGTAGTCTTTGATATGGTTGGATTTATGTCTGCCATTTGTTGTTTTCTATATGGCACATGTATTTTTCTTCCTCTATTTCCCCTTTCTTGAATTTTTTGGTGATAGTTTTTATTAAGTGCATAATTTAAATTTCCCCCCTAAAAAGAACTCTATTTCTTAATTTTTCAGTGATTCTTTAGGGATTAAGTAACATTCCATTGTATTAATTAATGGATATTTGGGTTGTTTCCACCTTTTGGCTATTATCAGTAATGTTGTTATAAACATTTATGTATAAGCTTTTGTATGGACATATATGTCTTCATTTCTCTTGGGTATTTCCAGGAGTGGAATTGCTGGGTCATAGGGTAACTCTGTTCTTTAACTGTTGGGGGACTACCAGACTGTTTTCCAAAGTGGCTGCACCATTTTACATTCCTACCAGCAGTGCCTGAGAGTTCTGATTTCTCCACATCCTTGCCAATTCATGTTACTACCTGACTTTTTGGTTCTAGGCATTTTGGTGGATGTGAAGTAGTATCTCATTGTGGCTTTCATATGCATTTCCCTCATGTCAGGCATCTGCATCTTTTTATGTGCTTTTGTATATCTTCTTTGGAGAAATGTCTATTTAGATCTTTTGTTCATTTTAAAATTAAGTTGTCTTTTTATTATTGAGTAATAAGAGTTCTTTGTATATTCTAGATATGACTCCATTATCAGATATATGATTTGCAAATATTTCTTCCTATTATACAGGTTGCCTTTTCATTCTCTCGACAGTGTTCACTGAAGCACAAAAGTTTTCAATTGTGATGAAGTTCGGTTTATTTTTTCTTTTGTTATTTGTGCTTTTGGTGTCATACCTAAGAATCCCTTGTCAATAGAAAGTCAAGAAGATTTATCCTTTTGTTTTCTTGTAAGTTTTATAGTTTTAGCTCTTACATTTAGGCCTGTGACCCATTTTGAGGTTTTGTTTGAGACAAGGTCTGTCTCTGTTACCCAGGCTGGAGCACAGTGGTATGATCATAGCTCACTGCAGCCTCAAATTCCTGGGCTCGAGTGATTCTCCCCTTTGGCCTCTGTAGTATCTAGAACTTCAGGTGCATGCCACCATGCCTAGATAAAGTTTTTTTGTAGGCCGGGCGCGGTGGCTCAAGCCTGTAATCCCAGCACTTTGGGAGGCCGAGATGGGCGGATCACGAGGTCAGCAGATCGAGACCATCCTGGCTAACACAGTGAAACCCCGTCTCTACTAAAAAATACAAAAAACTAGCCAGGTGTGGTGGGAGGTGCCTATAGTCCCAGCTACTCGGGAGGCTGAGGCAGGAGAATGGCGTGAACCCAGGAGGCGGAGCTTGCAGTGAGCCGAGATTGTGCCACTGCACTCCAGCCTGGGCGACAGAGCAAGACTCCGTCTCAAAAAAAAAAAAAAAAAAAAAAAAAA